CAATAAAAGTGAACACATACATATGATTATTATTCATAACCCGAACATGTACAACACCTCACTTCTAATTCACTAACAAAAAAAATAATTTTTTCTCATTGTCCATATAAGTTAAGACACCAATAATCGTTGTCTCTTGCAAGTCCAATTTATTAAGAAAAAATAAAGAACATTCGTAATATAATTTGTTAGATCCAAGTTCTATCAACCAGTTAACTCATTGGATACACAAATCCGATCAAGTAAAGATGGAAGCAGAATGATAGAATTGTAGCAATCACTTATATATGTAACAAAACTTAACAATTGAACAGAGGAACAAATTGACCAAATCCAAAGCAATATAAAGCACTAAGTTTCATGACCAACAACCACCAATAAGACTATGTTGTAAATCGGAAAAATAAAGTAAGATGTGCACAGTGAGCATATATTAGCATATGAATTTTCCTCATTATTAAATTCATTCAGTTTTCATTTTCTTGAAATCAAATTGGACCGTTTAACAAAGTAAGATGTGCACAGTGAGCACCTTATTTCATTTTCTTGAATTTTCCTCAAAGATGGCAAAGTGTGCCATACATAGGACTATCAGTTCAAATTCAATTTCTTGAATTTCAACTAAACGAACAAATAAGGTGCTTTTATCGTTTTTTGGTTTCGGTCCCAAACTTTTTGTGCTTGGCGTTCTTTGTTTGGTCAAAACTGAAAACAATAAAAATAAAATCACAACCAATACACAAACACTCAATATTCAATTAAGCCTCGAGTTTCATTTTCTTGAAATCAAATTGAACCGTTTAAACCTCTTAACTATTCATTTTCAAGGAAATTATTTTACTCGGTTTTATTTTTGGTTCGATTCGGCTAAACAAAGCAATCTTCCCCTTTGTTATACATACAATATCTTTGACCAAATGATAAAGTTTTTTTTTAATATATTTGAGTGTGTGAGGAATGGGGTAAGATGACAAGTTCTTTCATTCTTACTAAAAAACAAAAATTGAAATAGTAACTTTGGCAAAAAAGTGTACCTAGCTTTTATATATATGTACCTAGCTTTTATATATAAGATAAAGATAATGGGACGTTGAGGGGACCATCAATTTGATCGTGCGGTGTAATTGTTGAATCTAATCCTTTTGGCTAATGCATTGTGCCCAAAATCTCGTTGTTTACCATAGTTTTGGGGACTAGATTGATTTAAAAATTACACTTTAAAAATACTGGTATTTTGTATGCACACGACATGATACAACTCGAAAACATGAGATTCGACCGCTACTGATCATTTCTCAAAATCCATGAGAAAAACCACGGCAAGGATAGTCATTTTCTGAATGGAAGTCGGTTCCCTTGAAAATGGCAGAACTGAAACAAACATGATTAACTGTAATATAAGCTACTGCAACATATTGAGCCCTGTACAATATTCCTAATGATCATAGTTCTAAATTTTGAAGCGACTTCTTTATATTTTCTGTGCAAGCGAATCTACAACTCTGCCTAAAATGGTCATTCACTGGCTTTTACTACTACCACTAATGCCATAACATCATGCAATGCAAGTTCGTCTCCCTGTGAAGCCGAACGACAACAGTAATCCGGCGCTTAGTTATCTGAAGTGTCATAATATCTACCTCAACACGCTACAAACCGAAGGCTTACCTACCATGAATATGAAGGCACTTCATTCAGCTCGGCGTTCTAGCAAAAAGCATTCAGACTCCCACCTGGCCTACGGCCTGCAACCAAATGTACAACAAACAAAGAAGAATGTTACTGAGCATCTGGACAAGAATCTTGGTTCTGGAATCTAGAAGGAACCAACACGCCTTGGTTTTTTCCACTTACGAGAACAAGTTAGAGTGGTTACGAGACATCTGAGGCCGCTTGATCGGCGAGAAGATGAGGTTCTTCAGTTTCATCGCCGGGTTGCTTGGTGCAGCTCCGAAACCAGCGTTACCGCCGGCAACACTTCGGTTTCCAAGGTCGAGTTTGGCTGCTGTGTTGGCTGGTGAGCCGCTGCGGGGACGGCTGCCGCCGGAGATACCAAAACCAGAAGTTCCAGGGTTCTGTCTCGGGAACCATACGTCCTCTCTGGGTCCTGGAGTTCGAGGAGTTATATCCGACCAATCTGTAAAGAGTCAGTCAATCCAGCTTCCTAGATCATTTTAAACAAAGAACGAGTTGTGGATGGGAGTTGAAAGGCATGGAAGTAAAATTACCATTTCGCAGCGGTTCTCTGGTATCCATCATTGTAGCTGCCGGGTTGGAGAAGATATCAGCATCGTTTCTTGCGTAGAAGTTGCTTGCCGGTTGAATGGCTGATCTTTTCACCGACTCGTACTCTCTTTTCAGTTGATCGTACATATCTTCGAGTTTCCTCTTTTGCCTGCGCTCACCAAGTCCAAACCAATAGAACATCGTAAGCAACAGGTTTATTCTGATAATGGAAATGAGATAAGTTAACAGTGTTGCTCTCTATTCAACTGACCTTGATTGCTCGGAGAACTTTTCTTGGAGCTCTGCTTTATCCCTTTGAAGCTCTTCTCTATCCTTCCTCAGCCTCTCGTTTTCCTGTTCCATCATCTGGCATCGTTTTGCCGCTTTCTGATATGCAGCATAGACCTGCTCTAGTTTCTCGTTGAACTTCTCCTGCGTGGCCTCAAATTTCTGCCGATACTGTGCTGCTAGTCTGCTCAGCTTGAACTGCATCTCTAATTCCTTCTGTCCAATATAGAACATCACACTCTTGAATGTGCTCTTCATCACTGTGCTATTTTTAAGGAACATTCATGGGCGTTAGGCTTTCCACGAATAAATTTTAGCAAATATTCCAGCGATTCCATGACAGCCCTCGTTTTATTTGGATTTGGCAACACAGTAGAACAGGGTTACCAGAGTCAAAATATCACTGCATAACATGTTGATAGTTTGGCAATTTAAGAAACAAGCATAAATTGTTTAACATCATAAGCAAGGATACATATCTGCGGAGATAGCCCATTCGTGACCATCTGCAGCAAAGTAGGGTTCAATAAATGCACAGTAAGCAAATGCATGAAAAATACACTAGCATGAAAAAGGAGTGGAGAAGCAAAAGAATCTGCCATAAGAAGCTGTTGATAACATTCACAATCATTTGCTTACATTTACCCATTCGTCATTTGGATTTATGTCCACAGGTTTCATTTGGCTGACAAAACAGACAACTAAAAGTGAGTGATTCGAACCAACTAGGAAAACAAGAACCAGCAAGCCTCCATATAACTTTTTCATATGCAATTTTTCTAGTGAACTGGACAAGGGCTAAGCAATCTGGAGACGCTCCACCAACAAACTCTACCATCTAACTGAAGTGAAAATACAATGTGCTTCCCACAATCTAAACAAATGAAGGACCAGGATGGACTGTTTAGCAGGACAAAGAAATAACCTCTTAGGAAGGACTTGATCACAGACTGGGCATCCCCCATCGTTGCTAAGTATCTTGCTGGCATCCTCAGTACCTGTTCAAGCTGTTAAGAGAAACTTTGTGCAAGAACAGATGCTGGTGACACATATTAGATACCATGAGAATGGATAGGGCATGATAAATCAGACTCAGAAATATGAAATCACAATCATGTGTAGGATACAGAGGAGGTGACCACAAGTAGTCACGACAGCACGCCCTTCCAACTCTTGCCAACACGCGTTGCACCTCATCTTAAACTTGATTGAATGATTCCGTTTTGCTATATGTACCTGCTTATCCTTATGTTAGATGAGGGACAACAAGGCTAGACCGCTTATGCAGAGAACTATTAGCATTTGAACCAAGATCCATCGGCTGCTAGTTCCAGGTTATCCTCCACCAAAAAATTACTGGAATCGAGTTCCTACTTCATAGCAATGACACATTTTCAGAAAGGTCCTATCAATTTACGCCACTATCATTTGGAAACACGCAGTCACAAGTCACCAAATTCAGAAATAACTGTCCAGTTGGAAAAAATTAGGTCACTCCTAAAATTGAAAGGAAGAAAGCAACGAGCATATTAAATTCCATAGCACAATCGCGCTTTTCACGACCAAGAGAAGTGAAGCAATCAATAATGGGGATTATTACCAAATTAGTCAATTCACGGCAACTTGATCACGACGAGTTTCCACATCTATGTTCTATCGCCATTAGAAATAAATCCATATCTAAGGAACGATTCCGGAAAGCATGAATCTAAACTGCTGAGCTTCCACAAGCCCTAAGTATTGAAAACAGGTCGCTCTGTTTGGCAAATCGGACTAAGAAGCTATAGACGACAGCAGAATTCAAGGAAACTAGCAATGGCATTTCGTTCCAGAACAACGATTTTGCTAAAGAAAAACGAGGCAGATAGAGAGGCTAACCTGGTAGTAAGCCAACAGATACGCACATTGAGCTTCCTGAGCTGCAGGATCTCCCGAGCAAATCGCACGATAAACTGCTAACGCGGTGAAAATCTGATGTTCACTTTCCTGCCAATAGATGAGACGAAACTCAGAGAAATCGCAGTGTATGGCGGTTGTTCAAAGTTTTTGGAAGCGCGATTCATAACACGAACAGTAGAAAGCGCCGACGATCCGCGAGCGCATCCGAGAAAAGTTCCGGAGAGATCTCTGAAATCGCTAGATTGAACGAGAAAGAAGTGAAGTGAAGGCCCCCCCTAACCTGAGGTGGAGCTTGATCGGTCTGCGGTGGAGCTTGAGCGCTGAGCCGGTCACTGTCTCCTTCCACAGTCCCCGAACTTGTGTTTGAAATGAGCGGAGGAAATGGCGGCAACATACGTTCCATTTCTCCGGCAACAGGGATATATAAAGGTCAGCGACTGTCGTTGGTTTTTCTTTATTTATTTACTTTTCCGATAAGTTTTTGGGTGGAGTTCTACTTGGGCCGAATAAGTGGCAAATGGACTGGGCTGGTTTTCTTAACTCACCATCGCCATAGGCCCATTGTCCTCTCAAGCCCAACCGGGAAAGATGGGGCGGGAAAATACGTTGTCGTTTTAATTCAACCAGACCCAGAGACCCAAGAATATGTACAAATTTAGCGGCGAGGAGAAGAAAGCAAGGGTTTTAGTTTTAGGCTTTTAGCTGGACGCGGGAAGTAATTTTCCACGTTGTTGTCCCCCTGACGCCGATCCCTGCCGCTAACTCAGCCGCCGCCGATCTCAACTTTCTTTCCGGACAGCTTCTCGGTCGTGAAAATGATAGTGGCAGTTTCGTGGTTGCCGAAAGGAGTGGCAAAGGCTGTTCCAGTGGTGGCAGAGCTACCTTCAAAGGAAGAGATTGAAGAGCTATTGAAGTCCGGTGCTTTGGAAGATGGGTAAATTTTCTGTACCCATCCTTTTCCTTGGGGTTTAGCCAATCATTGTTTCTTTCTTGTTGGATTTTGTGCCCTTTCCTTGCTTCAATTTGAATTCATGGCAAAGTTGAGGGGGACGATTTGGTTTGTGCAGAGAAGAAAGTGGCAGTGAAGCTGAGGATGGAGATACGGAGGTGGATGCTGAGATGGAAACTAATGAAGCAAGTCAAGCACTAGCTGTGGCAGAAGCACTGGGCGCAAAATCGAAAACCAACAAGTCATCTTCCGGAGTTGATCATATAGCTGATGGGTTGAAGGAGCTTGACATGGACAATTATGATGACGACGATGATGAAGGTTAGTAGGGATTTTCCAAGTAACCCTTTTTGCTTGCTATTTCAATGGCAATGAAGATGCTGTAGTTGATACGATACTTGTTCGTTATTGCTGATATACCATTTGAAATCTGCAGAGATTGAGATTTTCAGCTCTGGGCGTGGAGACGTTTATTATCCTAGTAATGAACAGGATCCTTATCTCAAGGGTGTGGAGGTAGGTTTTGCTACTTTCATGCTTTCTTTTGTGGTGCAAATTTGCTTGCATTGCCTTTTGACTGCATTTCGTATGATGAATTATTTTGTATATGTGCATTCCTAAGGTCGATGACTCTGATGAAGAGGAGAATCTGATTATTCAGCCAAAAGATTCTGTCATAGTTTGCGCACGGAATGATGATGACATATGTTCGCTCGAGGCAAGTAATGTTGAATTCAACAACTCTCCCTGAGCTCTCTCCCCCTCTGACAATCACCGATGCTGTGTGTGACCAGGTTTCGGTATGTGAGGACTCTGGTGATGGTAATCTGAATATCTTCCCTCACCATGATATTATTGTGGCAGCATTCCCCCTTTGCACAGCATGGCTTGATTGTCCACTTAAAGGAGGGGAAAAGGGTAGGGCTTGTGTATCCATTGTTTGATATTACTCCATTGATCGGCCTTTTTGTTTCTTTTCTATCCTGCTAATCGACTGGGGAATTACTCTCTTTGCAGGAAATTTTATTGCTGTCGGTTCAATGGAACCTGCTATTGAAATATGGGATCTTGACATCGTACGTGATAGATGGATGTTAAAGCTCTGAAAATGCACTCATTTATCCTTTCTGATAAACAGATTGTTGTGAATCTCTGACACTTTATTGTCTCCAGATTGAGCAAGTAGAGCCATCTGCAGTGTTAGGAGGTGTTGTTGAGGTTCAGAAGAAGAAGAAAAAGAAGAAGAAAAGTAAGAAGAAGGTGAGTAAACATGTAATGAAAGACTAAGGACTGTTGTCTCACCTTGACTAAACTGAACTTGGTTATAAAATTTTCCCATGTTGGCTTAGCTCTGAAGGATTCTGTTTGATCAGCTATCTCTTATCTTCTCCTTTAAAAGGACATTGGACCGCAGTTAACCTGATATACTTGAAGTTGATTCTCGGTCTGGTCATCTTGTGTTAAAGACAAGGCATATTTCTATCACCAGTGCTAGAGTTCCCGGAGTTCATCTTTCTTCATCTGGTTATCTTTCTGTACAAATTTTCAGGCCCCAATTCAATACAAAGAAGGAAGTCACACTGACTCTGTACTAGGACTCGCTTGGAACAAGCAGTATAGGTTTGTTGAATATTCTTTAGTGGCCTTCATCCTCACTTCCTTGAAATTTATCATCAATTTATCCTCCTTTAGCTTAACTAGGTTTACCAAAAAACGTACAGGAATATCCTTGCCAGTGCCAGTTCTGACAGACAAGTTAAAATCTGGGATGTTACTACTCAACAATGTAATATTACATCGGAGCATCATACTGACAAGGCAAGAATGTTTTCTTTCAATAATTATACTGCCGTGCGTGAAGGATGATGTATTATTGATTAGTACAAACCTGCTTCCAGTTTCTTTGTATTTAACAGTTGAGCTTCTGTGGGGTTTGGACTACAATCTTTCTGTCCCTACAGGTCCAATCAGTTGCATGGAATCATCATGAGGCACAAGTTCTTCTCAGTGGATCTTTTGATCACTCAATTGTGATGGTATATAAATACCCTGTGCACTTTAAGATTCTTGGTATTAGTGATGCATAAGCTAAGGCATGCCTCAAAAATGAATGATGCATGGCCAAGACTCTAGCAATGAGCTACACGATGACTTGTTCATGACTGTTGCATACTGCAGAAAGATGCTAGGATACCTACACACCCAGGTTTTAGGTGGTCAGTTGCAGCTGATGTGGAAAGCTTGGCATGGGATCCACACAGTAGTCACTCCTTTGTGGTGAGTGTTATAGGCAAGTTTGTTTCTCGAATTGCTGAGTTCCCTTTTTAGGTTGGCCTTAAAAGTGAGAAAAAATATCATTTTTCAGGCGAGTCTTGAAAATGGTACGGTCCAAGGTTTTGATATCCGCACAGCCAAGTCTGGTGAAGCTTCTGATCTAAAGCCAAGTTACACAATCCATGCACATGACAAAGCTGTTAGCGCAGTTATCTATAACCCCTCGATTCCTAATGTAAGCTAGAGTACCATTCGTTCATTTGTTCAGAGTGTTTTCTATCTCAAGTGTATAAACTGACTTCCCTGTGACTGCCTGCAGCTTATTGCAACTGGATCAATGGATAAAACGGTAACTTTGCCATCATCCTTATCTCTTTCATTAAGTTGTGCACTAAGACTTGTTTCATAGACCTAATTGTTCATCCATGTATGTCGTCGCTACAGGTTAAAATCTGGGATTTATCAAACAACCAACCTTCGTGTGTTGCATCAAAGAACCCAAAAGCGGTATGTCACCTTTCACCAAATCACAGATTGAATGTCACCCTTACCGGACATCAATGCCATTTACTATATAAAAATAATTTAAAAGTGATCTTAACTTGTGCTGGTGACAACATTGAAATGTGATTATTATATCCAGGGCGCTGTATTCTCGATTGTCTTCTCAGATGACAGTCCATTTATTCTAGCTATTGGAGGATCAAAGGGAACCCTGGAAGTAAGTGTACTTCGAACATACATCTCAATCATTCGCTTCAATGCAGTGTTGTGAAAGTTATTTTCGTACATGAAGATTGAATGTGTATTGTGCTCGAAATGTTGCAGATATGGAACACAGAATCAGATGCAGCTGTTTCGAAGAGATTCGGAGGCTATAAGGACAACAAGCCATCTACCTCATCTTGAGAGTTCTGACAAAGCAGTACCATCGCAAGCCGCACTGTGGCGAAGTTATGAGTCTTCAAATTTTTGCAAAATGTTAGAATCTAGGGTTAGATTAATTTAGCATGTTTGGAACGGTGTAGTGTGGAAAAACTCTGTTGCCGTATCCATACATTTTGAGATGAAGATTTGTGTAAAGTTTGATTCTTTTTGGTAAGGTATTGCAGAACTCTGTTACCCTATCTTGTATGGTAAGCTATTGCAAATTTTATTTGGCTCCATGATTTGCAAGTCTGTCCAGTTCCATATGGAATTATGGATTGCTAATTTGCTGTGAAAATGAAACACAAAAGCCATGGATCCACAATTTTACAGTCCAAATCGAAACACAACTAGATGGGAACACATAGGCCCACCAACTTTTGTCCATGTCCCACTTTCCGGTTCCAATACCAAACCCGCCCAACAACGACTGCCAAACTCCCTCCCTCGCCTCTCGTCCTTCCTCCGATGGCCATCACCGCCGTCTGCTCCCTCGAATCCGCCTTTCCTTCACCTAATCTCCGCCGCCCATGTCGACTACGCCATCTCCCTCGACCTTTCCCCACCCTCCACCCACGTCTTCCACTACCACGGATCCGGCGGATTCCTCCGCGAGTGCGCCAAGTGGGAGGAACCCCCGCCGACCGGTTCATCGTTTCCTTCTTCAAAGGCGGCGTCGGCGAGCTCCGCTTCCCGATGACTAATCCTCCGGCGAACGGCTCATCGTTTCCTTCTTCAAAGGTCAGCTCGCTCGGGTTGGTGCACGTACTTCTTGTGTATCCTTTCCATTATACAAATGAAAAAAAAAAAGATACAACAACACATCAATTTGGAAGAAATCGGCAGATTTTCCAACAAGCCAGACAGACGACGACAAATTAGAAAGCTTTTATACGCGACTTGAAAAAGTTCTCTTTTTGTTCAAATACAAAGGCCACAGGATCTGCCGCGGAGACATATGGTGAACAACTAGGAGATGACAAACAATATTACGTGTCATTGAAGACACTGGCTTTCCACTGATGTTACGAAGAGAAAATGCGAGGTAAACGCTGTCTTCCATAAGACACATGAACGGTAGTACTCTTGCCTGCATTTTCTGTTCGCAGATTAACCAATCACCATGAACTCATTGTCGACTGTTGCTATGGCATTATTAGTTTCAGTGATTTGGATGGGTCTATGGGATGGAACTCTTGGTGCAGGCTGCAGTGCTGATGAAAGGGAAGCCCTTTTGAAGTTCAAGGCTGATCTTGAAGACCCTTCTAGCTGGCTAACATCTTGGGTTGGCCAAGAGGATTGTTGTACATGGTCTCATGTCGTATGTGACAACTACACTGGCCATGTCACCGAGCTCCATCTCGGATTGCCGCAGCCTTCTAACTGGTCAAATTCTGTGCTTAGTGGTAAGCTCAACCCTTCCTTGCTTGAGTTGAAGTATCTAGGTTATTTGGACCTGTCTAACAACGACTTTCATGGTATTCAAGTTCCAAGCTTTCTTGGCTTGATGACTAGTTTGAATACCCTTTACCTTGATAAAGCTGGGTTTGGAGGATTGATTCCTCACCAGTTGGGAAATCTCTCGAATCTGCAACACCTTGGCCTTGAGGCCTCTAAACATTATGGACTGTATGCAGATAGTTTGAGGTGGCTTTCTGGTCTCCCTTCACTAAAATTCCTTGATTTGAGTAATGTTGATCTTAGTAATGCTTCCGACTGGTTGAACATGATAAACGCACTCCCATCCCTTTCAAAATTATATCTGGCTAACTGTCAAATCCTCCATACCCCGGCCCTCGCCAATGTTAACTTGTCTTCGTTGTCTTCTTTAAGTTTGTACCACAATCAATTTGATCAAACTTCAGTTCCAAGTTGGGTTTTTCAACTTAAGAGCCTTACTTTCTTGAATCTAGCATACAACACTTTTCGTGGCCCAATTCCTCTGCAACTTCAAAACCTTACTTTGCTCAGGACCCTTGAATTAGCTTCCAATCATTTCAATCATTCGGTGCCAAACTGGCTATACAGTTTACATCATCTGGAGTACCTTGATCTATACAGTAATAAATTGAATGGCAGAGTCTCAACAATTGGGATTGGAAACTTGTCTTCTCTTGTTCATCTTGATATGTCTGTCAATCATGGCCTCGAATTTGAAAGGGGGATTCCTGAATCATTCAAAAGCTTATGCCGCTTGAGGTCACTTTCTCTGGGATATGTAAAACTGAATCAAAATGTATCAGAGGTTCTTGAAATTCTTGGAGAATGTGCTTCTATTACTTTGCAGGAGTTGTATCTGGATACTTGCCAACTGCATGGTCAGTTGACCGATCAGATTGGCTTGTTCAAGAGACTTAACCGTCTCATTCTTCCTAACAATTCTATTTCTGGTCCACTTCCGAGTTCATTTGGAGAAATGACATCTTTGAATCATTTAGACCTTTCAAGAAACAAGATAAATGGGAGCTTTCCAACAAGTTTTGGGTCACTGACAGGGTTGACCTATGTGGATATCTCTCGGAATGCAATGCATGGTGTTGTACTCCCTGAAATTCACTTAGCCAACCTCACAAAGTTGACCTTCTTTCTTGCTTCTGGAAACCAAATGGCGTTCAAAGCTAATCCAGATTGGGTTCCTTCCAGGCTACTTCAAATTCTGAACTTGGAGTCCTGGTATGTTGGACCTGGATTTCCCCATTGGCTCAAAGGTCTGCAGTATCTGAAGTCTCTTGATCTGGCTAACTCTGGAATTTCAGAACCAATCCCTGACTGGTTCTGGAGTATGTCATCTCAATTCTATTATATGAATTTCTCGCTCAACAAAATCTCTGGGAGGCTTGCAAATATTATCTCTGTTGTTGGCACTGACTCATTGTTTGATTTCAGCAACAATCGCTTGGAATTGCCGCTGCCCACGATTTCGTCCAATCTCACTTTGTTAGACCTATCCTACAATCTGTTATCCGGAAATTTGGTCAAGTTCTTGTGTTTCCGTCCTTCTGAAATGCGGACTACTCAGTATCTGAATCTTCGTGGTAATCTTTTGTCTGGTGAGATACCTGGGTGCTGGAAAAATTGGCGGAGTTTGGAGGTCCTGAGACTTGGTAGCAACAAGTTCATAGGAAGAATTCCGAACTCCATCGGAACTTTAATCTCACTTGTGGCGTTACACATTCAGAACAACAGCCTGACAGGTGAAATTCCTTTGTCCCTTGGTAACTGCTCGAAGTTGCTCACTATTGACTTGGGTTATAATGGATTGGAAGGAGAGATTCCAAGGTGGATGGGGATGTCGCTTTCCAGGTTGTCTATTCTGAATTTGCGTGCAAATAAATTTCATGGCAGCATGCCGGTGGAACTTTGCCATCTCCAGTTTCTACAAATTTTGGACCTTTCTCACAACTCACTTTCAGGGAGCCTCCCAGAATGTCTGTCTAATTTCAGTGCAATGGCAACCTCAGATAATACTGATGTTGCTGTAATTTATCTATTTTTTGGAGGGGGTGAAGTGTACAGCGAAAATCAAATTTTATTGACCAAAGGGAGCTTTGTGGATTACAGTACCATACTGAACTATGTAAGAAGTGTAGACCTTTCCTGCAACAACTTATCTGGAGTAATACCAGAGGAGATCACAGACCTAAAGGAACTCCAGTACCTGAACTTGTCGCATAATTTATTCTCATCTAGAATGCCAGAGGGTTTACAGACAATGGAATCACTGGAATCGATGGACTTATCTGTGAACCGGCTAACAGGAGTAATTCCCCCTGGAATTGCAAGTCTGACATTCCTGAGTTACTTGAACTTGTCCTACAACAACTTGAATGGTGAAATTCCTTCAAGCACTCAACTGCAGAGTTTCGATTCTTGGAGCTTCATAGGAAACCAAGACCTCTGTGGCCCTCCATTAAACAAAGGTTGTAGTGCGAGCATAGTTGTGCCTAGTTCTGGAAATGAAGATGAAGAGGATGAATTTTTATGGTTCTCCATCAGCACGTCCATTGGCTTTGTGGCTGGTTTTGCTGTTACAGTCTGGTCTTTTTTCTTTGGATTATCAAATAATATACCCTGGAGTTCCTGAATCACCCGGGGCACAGATTCTGCAGCTGTATGTATTATCATCCTCTTTTCCTTCCAGTTATCTAGTGGTGGTATCAGCTTGAAACTCTGCTCAGGAGGTACTTCTCCTGAAACTTAATTAATTACAATGTCACATATCTTTCTTTTGTGGCTCATGCTTCAACTTCCTAATATCACTTTTCTCTGTTTGCTGATGGGTTGAAGGAGCTTGATGTGGACAATTATAATGACGACGATGATGAAGGTTAGTAGGACTTTTCCAAGTAAACCCTTTTTGCTCACTATTTCAATGGTTTTGTAACTTGTTCGTTATTGCTGATATATTATTTGAAATATACAGAGAGCGAGCTTTTCGGCTCTGGGAGTGGAGACGTTTATTATCCTAGTAATGACCAGGATCCGTATCTCAAGGGTGTAGATGTTAGTCTTACTACTCTCATGCTTTCTTTTGTGGTGTGAACTTGCTTGCATTTGCCTGTGACTGCGTGTCTTAGGATGAATTGTGTTGCGTATGAGCATTCCTAAGGGACTGATGAAGAAAATAATCTGATTATTCAGCCAAAAGAGTTCCCTGAGTTTATCTTGCTTCATCTGGTTTATCTTTTTGTGTTTTCAGGCCTCAATTCTATACTAAGTAGGAAGTCACACTGACTATGTACTCGGACTCGGTTGGAACAAGCCGTTTTAGGTTTGTTAAATATATTCTGTCTTGGCTTTTATCCTCTCTTCCTTTAAAATTTATCTAACAAGGTCTACAAAAAATCTACAGGAATATCCTTGCGAGTGCCAGTGCTGACAAGCAATTTAACATCTGGGATGTTGTTACTCAACAATGTAATATCACATGGGCGAATCATAAAAACAAGGCAAGAATGTCCCTTTGCTGATAATTATACTGTCATGCATTAAGATTATATTGTATTTATTGGTGTAAACCTGCTGTAAGTTCCTCCTGATTTAACAGTTGTGCTTCTGTGGGTTGTGGACTACAACCTTTCTGTCTCTACAGGTCCAGTTAGTTGCATGGAATCACCATGAGCCACAAGTTCTTCTTAGTTGAGCTTTTGATCGCTCAGTTGTCGTGGTAAATGAATACCCTGTGCATTATAAGTTTTTTGTTACTAGTGATGCTTAAACTACGGTCATTGTCTTGAAGCCAAGGCTCTAGCAATGAGCAACATAATGAGATGCTTGTATGGCTTTTGCATAGTGCAGAATGATGCTAGGATACATACACGCCCAGGTTTAGCTGGTCAGTTGCAGCTGATGTAGAAAGCTTGGCATGGGATCCACACAATAGTCACTTTATATTCTTCTCTATATAAGAAACGGAACCATCTTACCATGTTCGTTGGGCACTAAAGCGGGAGTAAAAAGAAAAATCCTTTTTAGGTGAGTCTTGGAGATGGTATTATTCTGCCTTGTCTTGTCAGAGGGTAGCCCATTTCTCCTGGCTATTGGAGGTTCAAAGGGAACTCTGGAAGTAAGTATATTTCCTACATACCTCTCATCATTCTGTGCGCGATGTCAATGTGAATGAAATGCTGTGTTGTGTTGTGCTGTGCAAGTTAGTTTGCAAAATCGTGATTGAAACGTGTATGCTGCTCGAAATTTTGCAGGTATGAAACAGAGTCGGATTTCGAACCGATTCAGGGACTATAATTATAGCAAGCTCTCGACCTCATCTTGAGACGAGATTTGATGGAGTTGTGGTGAAGCAGTGCCATTGCAAGCCGCACTGTAGCGATGTTATGAATCTTCAAAGGTTTGCGAAATGTTAGAATGGTAGTGTTTGCTGGTTTATCATGTGCGGAAGCGGAACAATTTAGTGCAGAAAACCTCTGTTACCATCAGTACATTTTCAGTTGAAGTTTTGTGTAAAGTTTTGGTCTTTTTGATATTGGAAACTTGCTGGAGAAGACGAAAAAGGTTTAGCGGCAAGCAAGAGTTACGGATTGGCTACATTGCTTGCTTCTAAGACCACTAGCTTACGAACGATTTCTTCCAAGTCTTCAATGGTTTCTTTATTGTAGTACATGGTAGATAGCTCCATTAATTGTCTTCCAGAAGAAGCAAGCGTAGAAGTCAAAACTAAAGAAACCTAAAATATTCTTCGACTTTTGTAAAGAGAAATTTACTGTGAGGAAGTGGGTTGTAGAAAATACGTTGGTTGCAGTGGGAGTTGGCCTCAACCCACCTACGCAGTTACTATATGGACGTAAATGGTGTTGGGAAGTGAAAATTCTCCGTTCGTTCTCCTCCATCAGTTTATGTTACGTTATTTCGAATGTGATTTTTATTCTACAATTTTATAACGAGGAACTTGATACATACGTTTAACATTATCTTGATTTTCATGAATATCTATCAAGTACACGAGGAGAGCGATTTGTGTTTATAAGTTATAACCCTGTCAATAATCACCAAAATATCTATTTAACTATATGGTTATGTCTTCGGTGCACTCACTTTTTTGCATGCATTCAATGCACCCGTCTCATAATCGTCATTCTGAGCAAGCGATACATGTGAAAACGATGTCAATCATCACTTGTGGTATGATGAACAAGAACCACATGAATTTGTACAAAAATCATTCAAGATTCACTTTAATTTGAATGATTGAGGGTTTAGGAATTTAGGGTTAGGGTTTACAATTTGGGATTTTGGGTTGAGATTCAAAATTGAAGGTTAATAGGTTAGAGTAATCGGTTGATTAGTTGTGATTTTGTGTTATATCATCATATTAGACTAATGCAGCCCATTAAATTTCAAAATTTGATGTATTATGACCACTTTTAGAGGTGGGTGTTCTGAATGCACTCAAAAAAGTGAGTGCACCGAAGTAGCCACCTTAACTATATATCATTTTATACATCTATTTATAACATTCACTCATATATATAACTTTGCTTGCTACATACCAATATTATTAAACTTTCATAATCGATCATAATATGCACAAATTATTATTATTATTTTTTTCATAATCACATTGCACGTCATACCCACAAGCGTTACAGAAAATTACAATTGAATTAATATTATGTAGATCATTATTTTTATCTACAAGACATAACTCGTCATTTCGTCGAACTCAAAGTATCAAGATTTTTTACATCCGATAAAATTTACAGTGTCGTTGTCAAGTTTAGTCCATCAAATTTATAGCCAGAATTTTCAAATTGTAATTCACCTTTCAAGATTATTTCCTCTTTCTTACTTATGATCATCACCAGGAAAATAAGCAAATAAAATATCCAGAAAATTTGGGATTACATGCTCTTGTAAGATATTGCAAATTTTACTTTTTCTACAATCATGGAGCACAATCTTTCTTCATGTGTATATATATTCGGGATCAGTAAAGTCAGCTAACAGAGCCCACTCTCCAACCTTTGTCGCTGTCCCACTTTCCGGTTTTCCAACACCCAATCCCGCCCAACAACCACCGCCAACCTCCCTCTCCGATGGCCATCTCCGCCGTCTGCTGCTCCCTCAAATCCCTCCTCATCCTCCTCCTAATCTCCGCCGTCCCCGCCGCCTACCTCATCTCCCTCGAGCTCTCCCCGCCCTCCACCCACGTCTTCCACTACCGCAGCACCGGCGGCTTCCTCCGCGAGTGCGCCAAGTGGGACCCACCCGCCGGCCGGTTCATCGTCTCCTTCTTCGAAGGCGGCGTCGGCGAGGTCCGCGTCCCGGACGACTACTCCCCCGGCGACGTCCTCCGCGAGGTCCAGCTGGCCAAGGACGCCGACGTGGCCGGCAACGCGTCGCTCGGGCTGGTCGTCGACCGTCCGAGGAACCGGGTGGTGGTGGCCGTCGCCGATGCTCTGCGGAACAAGTACAGCGCGCTGGCGGCGTATGATTTGTCCACGTGGAAGCGTCTGTTCCTGACTCAGCTGAGCGGGCCGGGTTAGTGTACCGGTTTTCTCCTTTCCTGCTGTGCTGTCCCTTTCATTTGGCTTCGTTCTTTTCGCCCGTAAGAGGTTCCCTTTCTTTCTCAGTCTTTGGTGCAACGGCCGGCATCGATTAAGAGCTGGACCTTCATTAGTAAACAAAACAAAAAGGAATCTTATTAAGAAATTAAATTTTAGAAAATTTTAAATCTTTTAATAATCCTTTCCTTCTTAATGGAGCTACCGGCTTTTGCGTTTTGTGCTTTTTCTGATGGGATTTGAAAGTTTGATGTACCAATCTTAATAATAAAAGTGTAAAGAGATTAATCTTTGTATAAGTTCGCAACTGGTTAATAACTTAATTCATTAGTAAGCAAAACAAAAAGTAATCTTATTAAGGAAGTAATTTTTAAGAAATTCCAAATCTTTTAGTAATCCTTCTGTTACGGGCTTACGGCCTTTTGGGTTCTACATTATTCACTATTTGTTCATGTGTTCGGGGACGAAAATGCAACCTGACTTGCTGGGTCAGTGGCTGACACGATTGTTCAGAAGAACAACTAGTTTAATGTTTGGGACAGAGTAAAATGGATGGATTCTTGAGTAGTTGACATGGTCTGCCCCACTAACAAAGAAAGAGGTGGTACTTTGACAGTGACAAATCTGAGTTAGAATCGTCTATATAGTGTAATATTTAGGTTTAATTCACTTACATGGTCATAACTTTCGCGTTTTTGACAATAATAGCCACTTTTTGAAAAATACAGAAAAATAGTCATTTCGTCCAAAACTTTAACAGACCAAGTATGAATATTGACTAGACTAACAGTTTCAGCTGACGTGGCATATTTTGGTCAAAAAGTGTAAAGTGGAAAAATACATTTTTGAATTAATTAAAAATTAAATAAAAATATACTAAAATTAAGAAAGGAAAAAATAAGCATCTTCTTTCTCTCGTCCTCACCGCTTCCCTGTGACACTGGCCTCCGCCTCCCGCCTCCGTTATCCTCTTTCTCTCAACCACCTATTTCCAATCCATCTCCTTGCCTTCAGCGCCCTTCTCTTATAGTTCGACGATGCTCCCCTTCACCTCTTCGTCTTCTTCCCAAATCTCGAATCCATATCCAAAACCAAATCGACGGAAATGGGCAGTGCAGGAGAACCAGACACGGGAGCTCGCGGCGGAGCAGGGGAGTCGAGTCGGTGATGGAGTTAAGAAATCATCGGGTTCGCCACCTCTGTCGCATTATTACTCCACCAAATTCTACAACCGCCGCTCCACCGCCTCACAAACCCTAAATTCCTCTCATCCCACTACACGCAGCCGTCGACCGCTCAGTACCTACCCCTTCTTATCCTCGAACTACCAAGAATCTGTTCAATCAAGCCTGGAGAGAGTTGGAGGACATCGACCATCGGGTTTAGCTCTAATTGACCGATTCCCCTTCGCAACTCAACCACCGTCGCAGAATTCCTTCCAATCGACGCACTAATTTGGCAGGAGATGGACAGCTTGGATAGGGGTTTGTTCTCGAAGGAGCTTTTCAATGACCTCGTTTTGAGATGAGCAAAAATGGTCTCCAGATCTACCACCGTCGTTCAAAGAAAAGCTTCAACCCAATCTGCAACAACCGCCGTTTTTTGGTTCGTTGGTCATCGGGTTTCGATTTATGGGTTTCTCGTGGCCGATTTCAGACTAGCAAAACCTCCAAGTTAGGCGTTGGTGAGTGGATCGGCCGATGGGTGTGCATGGGAGAATTGTGCGTCGATTGGAAGGAATTGTGCGACGATTGGAAGGAATTGTGCAGGGGAGAATTGCTGGAAATTTAGATGCAGGAAGGGGAATCGGTCACGAGAAACCATCGGGTTTTGCTGGAAAGTTTATCAATAGGAACTCATTTGGATGCAGGAAGGGGAAGGGTCTTGGGTCAATCGTATTTGATTTGAGTGCAGGGGAGAAGCTCTGGTGGCGCCGACGGGGGACGATGAGGCCGCCGATGGGGAAGGGATGAGATGGAAGAAGAAGGAGAGCTCGAGGAGGAAAGTGAAAAATGAAAGATAAAATTTTAATTTAATTTAAATATGATGTGGCAGCTAGGTGGCATGATTTGGTGTGTTGGAGCTTATGTGGAAGCTCAGGTGTCATCCGCGTCAGTGTCATGTTAACGGTGTTAAAACTTTTAACGGAAATGGCTAATTATGTCAAATGAGTTTTCAAAATGTGGCTATATCTGTGTATTTTTCAAAAAGTGGCTATATTTGTCAAAATCGTGAAAGTTATGGCTATGCAGGTGAATTAAACCTAATATTTATTTCCCGATATAAACTTCTGTTTAGTGTTTATTGATCTATCTACCAAGTGGCATCTATTTAATTTAATGTACTAATAGTACTATGAGCTGGGACTATAACTATAGTACTATACTAGCCGGCCGGCCCACAATTTGCACAATTAACTTTCCTTTTATTTAGTTTGGTCCTGCGCTAGACTGCTAGATGATAGGCCTCTTATTATTTATTAAACCCTCCATATTTGAAGTCCTAAATCAATTTATTAGGTCATTTGTAGACAAGGGGTTAGATGGTTGATTCGAAAAAAGTTGGTTCAAAATCTAAATCTTGTTCGGTTAAGTTTTACGAATCAGTTCATGAATTGAATTCGTTTGTTTTGAGCTTATGAGCTGGTTTGACAATATGACACTAGCGAATCAGACAACTAATTCAATAGTCTTACTAGGGAAACTAACTATGTACAACTTATTTGAGTTAAAATGGGCTTTTGTGTGGCTGCAGAGGACGGGAAAGCCTTTGCGGACGACGTGGCAGTGGACGCAGAAGGCAACGCGTACGTGACCGACGTCGCAGGCAACAAAATCTGGAAGGTCGGTCCCGACGGCCAACTCATCTCCACAATCACCCACCCTCTCTTCGCCCCAAAACAATGGTACCAATCCCTGGTCGGCCTCAACGGCATCGTTTACCACCCCGACGGCTACCTGCTCGTCATCCACACCTTCACCGGCAACCTGTTCAAGATCCGGCTTCCAGACGCCGTCAGCGTCGGATTGGTCCACGTGGAAGGCTCGCTGGCGTTCGGAGACGGGATGGCGCTGCTGTCCCCGACCCAGCTCGTGGTGGCCGGTTCGAGCCCGTCGGCCAGGCTGATGGAGAGCTCCGACGGTTGGGAGACGGCTAAAGTGGTGGGCAGCTTCAAGGGGCCTTCTCATCGGCTGTCGACGGCGGCGACGGTGAAGGACGGGAAGGTGTATTTGAGTCACATGTTTGGGATTGGGTACCCGGAGAAGAAGCATGCGATCGTTGAGGCTGTTTTCTCTGCTTGAATCAATGAATGGATGGATGCAACCCTTCTACTTAATGGTTTTATATTCATGTTTGTTGTAGTAGGAAACTTGCATTGTTTCGGACGTGGAACGATCTTTCGTTGTATTGAAGTTCAGCAAGGTCGTCGGAGTAGTCAGCTCCCGGCCGGTCCTGCTTTTTTAGTTCATCGCGCCGATGATTTGGAAGAGAGGACTTAGGGACAGAAGGAAAATATGATCGATAAATTGAACCCAACAAGTCTATTAACGAACTATCGGTGAGATGTGCACCAATGTATAACTTTACTCCAATCCACTTAGGGGTGTATGTTTTGTCTAAGGTTCGTTTGGATGAATCAATCTAGAAATGAGTCAACTTGATCAATTGTCTCGTTTTATAAACGAGGCAATTAAAACGAGTCAATTCGAATTACTTGCCCCCACCCCAGGTAATTGAAATTGACTCAAAACATATCAATTCAAATACCTCAGGCAGATTGATCCATCCAAATTTTTTGCTGGCAAACGAGACAATTGTGTCAAATTGATTCGTTACCATTGCTCATCCAAACGACCCCTTAAGATCCTTTGAAGCAGGAAGACTAGATGCTTGGTTAGTTAGTTAGTTTGAATCATCCATGCATTCTGCGCTCCTCTAAATGATAGGAGAGACGCTATCAAATGATCACGATCTTTGATTCGAAAGTGCATGTTATATGTTCTTATAAGCGTAGGTGGAATGGGCAATGAACTGTTGGGCATATGACTCGGATCGTCCCCGCGCCAAAGGAACATATCGGACCGCGCGACACAACCGGCGGCGCGAAGACCTTGCGCGCGGCAAAGGTAAAACTACGCGCGCGAGTGTGAAGATCGTCCCCGCGCCAAAGGAACATATCAGACCGCGCGACACAACCGGCGGCGTGAAGACCTTGCGCACGTCAAGGGTGAAGCTACGCGCGCGAGCGTGAAGACCAGGCGTCATAACCGCAGAGGGCGTCATCGCGTTTCCCGAGGGAAGGTCACGTCAAGACTTTAGGTACAATCATAGACAACCCTCTGACAAGTCCTAGGTTAAGGGATGGCCTAAATCCCTGACACATCAGTAGTCACGTCGTTGTACCGTCTCGTAGTCCACCCTCTCACCCACCAACATGTAGCCTATAAATATGGCATTTACTCCGGTGGGTGAGGGGATCGCATTTTGGAACCATTCTCTCTCCATAATAACGACTTATCTCTCTAAAATCCCCACTCTTGTTCTCATACTATTCACTAAGTCTCCGACCTTCCGATCAAACCCATTGCTGGCACTTCTTCTTGACCCAAACTCTTACTCGAATCTCACTCCTACACTCAGTTAGGTTCAAACAATTGGCGCCCACCGTGGGGCCAAGAAGAAGTCGCAAAAGAGAACACATCATGGCAGAGCGCAACCACGATCAACCTGACGAAGCAACGCCCATCAAAGCGATGACCGACCCAAGGGAGTTCGCAGAAGCCAGCAACCTCAATGCGGTGCTTATTGAAGAAGAAGAGCCCGAACTGACAGCCAAAGAAATGAGGGAGCTGGTGACAAAGCAAAACAACGTCATAGCTGACATGCAGAAGCAAATGAGCCAAGTCATCGCGCTCATGATGAGCAAGGAGGCCGCGCCAACAGCAGAGGGAACGGCGGTCGCGCCCCAACAAGCCGTCGGAGAAGCGTCCGGAACCGCCCAACCACCACAACACGCGCCAGCGGAATTCCCCGTGGGAGAAACGCAGGGAATTGAACCACCAGGGCGGGCGGACCTCAGCTTCTTGGAGCAACACCTGTCTCCGCAATACCGGCCTAACCCGCCCAAGAGGGTTCTCCACCAGCCGTTGAGCGCACAAATTATGGCGGAGCACCTAAGCGGGGCGCCACCCACCCTACCCACATACAACGGCACGACCGACCCAGAGGATCACGTAAGCACCTTCTGCTTGCGCATGCAACTCCAAACCAACTCGAATGCGGCGCTGTGCAGAACCTTCCCGTCAACTTTTTCGGGAATATGCCTCGACTGGTACAACAGACTCCCAAACGGAATCATCCGCTCATTCGAGGAGTTCATACTCCTGTTCACAACAAAGTTCGCATCCCAGAAGAGGCGCCCTCTGCATCTCAAGGCGCTGATAGATATCAGGCAGAAGGAGGGTGAGAGCCTGAGAGCTTTCTACGCTCGATGGTCCAGGGTGGCAATGGCTGTCCGCGACCTTACCCCCGAAACCGCCGCCCATCACCTCATGGAGGCCACTTGCAACATGGAGCTCAAACGGGCGCTAGCAAAAAGGCCTGTGACCCTATCCACAGAATTGGAAATGAAAATCGAGAAGGCAATCACGTTAGAAGAGACTCTCGGGGCGGGATCGGTTAGGCGCTTCGAACCGGCGAAGTTGCAACGCGAAGAACAGGGGAGGCGGCAACCTCCGGCCCCGATTCCCCGAGAACAATTGGCACAGCTACACAGTGGCCCGAAAATACACCCCCCTCCCCCGCAAGAACACGTTCCGCGCCGGCGATCGCCAGATAGACGAGCGCCCAACACCTACACGCCACTCAACGACTCCGTGAGAAATGTATTCCACGTTCTCCGTGAGAAGGGCTACAAGCTCAATTGGCCTGCTCCGTTGAAGTCCCGCCCTCACATGCGCGATCCAAACAAGCACTGCGACTTCCACAGAGCAACAGGCCACTGGACGGAGGAATGCCGGGAGCTACGGTACGAAATCGAAGGCCTCGTAAGGCGAGGGTTGTTGACCGAGTTCACCCATGTCAAAGAAGAACAAGTGGAGGGCCCCCAGAACCCGCCACCTCCTCCGCAGACCGACTACAACGACGCCGGCGGCGCGTATGTGGTGCGCAAAGAAATAGGGGTGGTGACGGTCGAAGGAGATCGCCCCAAGAAGAAAACCAAGCGAGAGCGCGCAACTGAATGCGCGGCTGTAGACACGCGCGCGAAGCTCAAACTGAGCTTCGACGACGCGGAGTTCCCACGAGGGGTCCCTTCAGAAGATCCACTCATCATCACCTCACTGGTTGCCGGCTGCAAAATCCATCGTTTGCTGATAGACGGAGGTAGCGCAGCCGACATCCTCTTCCAAAGCACCGTCGACAAAATGGACATCGACCCGCGCCTGATCAGCGCGCGCTCAGGGTAATCTGGTCGGATTCTCCGGAACGAGAGTCCAGTAATTGGAGTGGTCACCCTCCCAGTGTAATCGGAGACAAGAGCCGCGCGTCTCTAAGCAAGTGGAATTCACAATTGTCGATTGCAAATCGGCACACAATGGCATCCTTGGCCGACCATTCCTGGCGAAGTTCATGGCCCTCCCATCAACGTGCCACCAAAAACTCAAATTTCCTACCCAAACAGGGGTTGGAGAGGCGCGAGGCACATCATGGGAAGAGCGCGATGAGGTACGCCAGACCAACATTGTCGACACGAGAGCGGAAGAGCCCCGCCCGGAGTCCATGGACTCCGACTTCGAAGTCGCGCTGGACCCTGCCGAGCCGACTAAGAAGATACGAATCTCCACCCACGTCAGCAGTGACGCGATCGAACCACTTGTGGCATTGCTGAAAGAGTACAAGGAGCTGTTCGCTTGGTGCACGGAAGACATGCCAGGAGTGCCCAGAGAAGTGGCTCAACATTGTCTGGCAGTCCCAAACAGCGCGGAACCAAGGCAACAAGGGAGAAGAATATTCACAGGTGACAAATTGAAGGCCATAGAAGAAGAGGTAGCGCGTCTACTGGCGGCTGGATTGATACGCCCCGTGAAATACCCAAAGTGGCTGGCAAACGTGGTCCTGGTTAAAAAGTCATCGGGGGCCTGGCGGATGTGCGTCGACTACACCACGATCAACAAAGTATGCCCGGGAGACCCTTACCCCTTACCGCGCATCGACCAATTGATCGACGCAACCGCCGATCACGAGACGTTATCCTTCCTCGACATGTTCTCGGGATACCACCAGATCCCAATGTCCATCGAAGACGAGAAAAGACGGCGTTCATGACACCGTTCGGCAACTTCTTTCGTCGGGATGCCATTCGGATTAAAACGCAGGCGCGACGTACCAGAGAATGATCGACGCGGTGTTCTCCCCACAGATCGGGCGAAACATTGAGGCTTATGTGGACGACCTCATCGTCAAAACAAAGGCGGGCAATTCACACCTGGACGACCTGCGCGAGACATTTGAAGCCCTCCGCCGGCACAACCTGCGCCTTAACCCACTCAAGTGCGTTTTTGGAGCGGAAGCAGGGAAATTCCTTGGGTTCATGATAACGAGGCGCGGCATAGAGGTTGACCCAAAACAAATCTCCGCAGTCCAACAACTTCGAGCGCCGAGGAGCGCGTTGGAAATCCAGTCCCTGAACGGCAAGATAGCGGCACTCGGGAGGTTCATCCCAAGGTCTGCCGACAAATGCGCTCCCTTCTTTAAAACGCTCAAGAATGGGGCGCGCTTCACATGGTCCCCGGAATGCGAAGCGGCATTCCAAGAACTCAAGGCTTATCTTGTATCCCCCCCTGTACTGACTGCCCCAAGCTTAATGAAAAACTCTTCTTGTATCTTGCCGTGTCAACGAGGGCAGTGAGCGCAGTACTGGTATCTAGAAGAGACGGCAAACTGAGCAACCGGTATATTACACCTCACGCACCCTCGTAAGCGCGGAGACCAGGTACTCTTCAATCGAGAAAGCCGCCTTGGCGTTAGTAAGCGCGTCACAGAAACTGCGCCCGTATTTCCAAGCGCACCAAATCACCGTCCTGACGAACCTTCCACTGAAAAAAATCCTAACCTCGATGGAAGTATCGGGGCGCATGGTGAAATGGGCGGTCGAGCTGTCGGAATACGATATTCAATACGCACCAAGACCAGCGATAAAGGCCCAAATCCTAGCCGACTTCATTGCAGAAGGGGTGACCCTTGACACGGCGCCAGAGGGGGTTTGGGAAGTTTACGTTGATGGAGCGGCGAGCAAGTATGG